GAGTAGGCGGAGAGCCACGAGGGGAGCTGTATTGTGGCCGAGTTCGCAATCCATGGAGTAATTGACGAAGGAAATGTAGAGACCGGCTGAATATAAGTTCGTCAGTTCCGACAGCGCCATTGGAATTGTCTATATCCATAGAAACATCGCCATTGGTTGCTCCACTGCAAGATGGTTTCAACGCGATAGCGGCGGACTTTAGTTGGTCCACGCAGCGATTGACAAGAGCAATATGAGTAGCGGCGATAGCCGATCGGGGTGATCTGTGAACAATACCGTGGTCCAGGTAGCTATCGATGGCGAACTTAATGGCCTCGGCTTCGATCGATTGTGGAGGTGCCGTCAGTATGAAGTTCCAAATCCGATCCATTCCAGGAATAGATATGACTTCATTTTCCCCGACAATAGGAGGCGACTTGATTCGAATCTCATAGTGGACCGACTGTTGAGCGAACCATAATACCTCGCGCGAGTAGTCCTTGGGAAGCACATCTGGTAGATACTCGTGAATGCATAGTTCAAGAAATTGGTTCTCTTTGGCGGTACGTTTGGTGAGATCAACCATCATTTTCCAAATGGTTTGACGCTCCTCGGGAACCAAGTTCTCGGACATGAAAATCTCCTCCCAGAGTGTCTTCCCGAGATCAGGTGTGATGGTGTCAGGGGCCAGATCAATAAGACGCCGCAGGATTTCCACCCGCGAGGCAAAGTCGTGCTTGAAAGATGGATCCTTAAGCTTTGCGTGGTCTTCACTAACGAGATGGTGAAGTTCGATTATCACCAAGCGCGTCAAATCGAAATCGGTCGCAAGTTTCCAAAGCTCTCGTGCATCATCACGGGGTACTAGCGCATTCAGCACTTGGATGCTGCCTGCAGTGCATTCATTCATCTCTCCAATGTCTTGAATGCACCGCTCATATGTCTCCGCCATGTCGGCTTCGTTGAGTCCAGCCTTGATGAACTGTCCCAGCTGCTCGCTTCCAAACCCCTGCATAAGTTCCTTTTGTTCCAGAGGCAGGTCCTTTGCCCCCGAGCTCTCACGGATTAGGCGGATGCAGAGCTTCAGTGGAATAGAATCGACATGCTCCTCACCAGACATGTTGCGATAGTCCCGATCACGATCCTGTTGCCGTTCGCGCATACGAGGCACTAGCTGTTCACAGAAATCGATTATGCGACTGTCGAAGCGATCCAAGGGAAACTCGAGTAACTTTGAGCAGACATAGAGCAACGCTTTAGACCTCGACTGGTGCATGGCAAAGGTTCGTGCGAGCATGGATATGACCTCGCAGACAGTGCGATCATCTTGGCTCTCGGTGACGGTTTTCCAGATAACATCCGTGTCGTGGTCGGTGTATTTCGCCGTCACAATCAGAAATCCAAAGATGTTACTGCTGCGGCTGATCAACTGTGGGTGTGAGTCGATGCCGACAAGATAATCGAGGATCTTGATTTCCCGAAGATATTTAACCAAGTACTTCAAAAACGGCGACTCGATCCCATCGCGGTTCTGAGATACATTTTGACCCCAGATGCTGACCAGGTCTGATTGCATCATTTCCACTCCATGGACACGAAGCTCCATCCGACCTTCCATGATTTGCTTTTTCAAGGTGTCGAATTTCCATGTCCAAATAACACAGAAAGCGGCTTGCTCTGCATCTGCCTCCTCGGGTACTTGAATCGACAATTCCTGGGCAAGTTGGAGTAAAAATTCCGGGTAACCGAAGCAAAGGAAACGGTAGCTGCGGAAAATTGGGTTCAGAAGACTATCGCTCAATTCACTGGTAGCCAGTTGCGACTTCTTTTCAACAAATGTCCGGTATACTTTGTCAATTCTTCGAACCGTTTCGTAGAAAGGCTGAAGCCTAGTTGAATCAGCAAGTAGGTCAATGGGAGAATCAGAACCGCCATTTTTGTTCCTCTCTGTGTCGCATTCAAAAAGTGCGAGCATGTTGACCAAAGGCGCTGAAAGCATGGTGACGATCTGCGGACACTTCGGAAGCAATGCAAGCAGGTGCGAAGTGTATTGCATAAGTACGCCGGGTGCATCAAACGGAGGGGATGAGATCTGAGCTTTCAGTCGAGCAGAAAGATTGAGAGTTCCAGTGCGGGACTGGTTTTCCAGGACCCGGAAAAAGGGAATTTGATCGCCATGGAACATCCAAGGGAAGCTATGAAGATATCGTCGACAGGTGCTTGGAGGCATTTCGACGTCTTCGTCATCTTCGACAACAGCACTGAGAAGTGTGGTGTCCATTTGAACAAGATGAAGAACAATGCGGGCATAATCAAGAAGATATTGTTCGAAGAAGCTTGAGGGGTCTTCGATACCGTCTAGTTGCAGGTCATGTTGTCTGCGCAAAAGACGGTCCAGGACGGAGGGCAAATATTCCCAGAAATCTAGATCTGCGGCAAATTCCTCGATTGTGAGCCTATCAAGATCGCGCACGCACGTGTGAAGCCATTCTTTTATTGTAACAAGCGCCGTGCCTTCCCGTAGGTGTCCTACTCGCTGAATTAGTATGTGACCAAGTCTCGTTGAGCGGAGCCTTTTATTACCATTCTCAAGCATATCACCAAGCGCCTTGAAGTTCTCTCGGGGCGTCATCTCAATGTGTACTTTGGGGAAGGACTCGGAAAGAGGAGCCACGTCTTGGATCTCTATCACTTCGGGCTCATCTTGATCCCGCATCACTTGGCCCAGTGACTTCCAGTTCGAGGTGTTCGGGTCTTGATTGATATCTTCCGGTTCAGCAACTTCGATTTCAGGACTTCGGGGTGAGGAAGGTGAGGAAGAAACTGAAATGGGGTTGGGAGCTGTGTCGGTATTTGGTAGGAGCTCCAGATCGCTACCAGAGAGCTCAGGGTCGGAGGGAGGGAGGTTGGGAGCCATGGTAGATGGAGGGAATTTTGTGTTAATGGTGACTTTGTTAGCTGGATTTCCAGAATCCGAGGTCTCATCCATGTCTGAGGCAGGTGCGATGGAGGCAGTATGCGAGGTTCCATCTAACGACAAGGTCGGACTGACGCGACTTCCACTGTCGAGACGCGGACGTTTCCGGGTCGCCTGAGGATCAAGATCCTCCATGGAGTCGCTGATGAATGGAGATTCTTCGATCAAGGGAGTGTGAGGCGGGGTGTAAGAGCTATCTGGCGGGGGTACAGCCATGTCATTTTCCGCGCGTAGTAGATCCAGGGTAGTTGAAACGCGTGAAATGAAGGTAATACAAGAATGATGGTTGAAGAAAAGGAAATTTGTGAGTTCAAAAAAAGGATTGAGTGGGAGAGAAGTAGAGGTAAGTCCTCAGAAAATGATAAAGCGGTCGACAGCTTTTTTTGGGGACGCGCCAGGACCAGTGACGTTGTTCTGTGGAGAGAACGAACAGGACGATCTCTCTCTTAAAGACACAATCAAGCTTCCGGGGATTTACTATCGCATATTTGCATTGCACATTTTCTATTGCAGTTTACAAAGAAATAAAATAATAATATATATTACTATGATACTATGATGTTTGTAGCAAATGTGACTGCCTACCTACACTATTACTCCAGCTATATATCAAGCGAATATAAAGCGCCAAAAAGTGCACAGCCCCTTATGCGGCCTTATGCATCAAGTCTGGACTCTCTTGGCATTCATGGTTTATTGTCTAATCAGTTCTGTTCAATTTGTCAAAAGCATGAGAAGTTTTTAGAAGTTTTATTTATCAGTGTCTATATCGTTGTTTGGACCAGGCATGATGCATGACGTCCATGTAACATAAGACGCAATTTCATTGACCCTTTCAATATCTCATAGATATAACTTACTAGAAAGTTCTCTACCTCTCTAATATCTATCACTTAATGAATAACAGAGGGACAGTCATTCTTCCATTGCCGTTTCAATCCGACGAATGATTCTAGCTGGGTTCCCCGCAGCCACATGAAAGGCGGGCACATCCTGAAGCTAAAGTCAGCATGATTGTACAATTAAGCTATGAAAAGGTGCATCCATGGATACAACATACCGTGATAACTACACTCCCGGCTCCAATAGTCACCCCTCTGCCAATAGTGACCCCAGGAAGTACAGTCACATTCCCGCCTAACCAGCAGTCCTCCCCAATAACGATCGGCTTGCCAGTCTCAGGACCTTCAGTGCCATTGCGTATGGCAGGATCAAGCGGATGAGTCCCAGAGAACAGACTGACATTGGGGCCGAAAAGTGTACGAGCCCCGACTGTGATAGGACATGTGTCGATGAAGACACAGTTAAAGTTGACGAAGACGCCCGCTCCAAGCTTGACGTTAAATCCATAGTCTATACGGACAGGAGATTCGACCCAGGGATCCTGCTCAAAGAGAGCTTCATCAGCTGCGGGATCATCTAGCTTTGGTGGCAGAGGGGTCTTGTCATCAGTGATACTATATGATGGTTTAGTATAGTTAAATAGTATATTTCCAAGTTGAAGTAAGCCAAAGCCTCAGCTTGACCGCATCACTCACTCTCTCCACATTTCAACGAGACGCCGACGAGGCACCTCGTCCGACTTATTGAACCGATTACAGGCCCACTTGCAGCGCGAACGAGCAGCGATCAAGTCCGGCGTGAAGGCGCGGTAGAGCTCTCCGCGAAGCATCTTCTCTTTCTCAGTAGGCTTCGACATGGCTGTGACGGCCATAGTTATCGCATATAAAAACCGACAAGAGGAGAAACAGCAAAACTAGACACTAGTTAGTATTTAAGACAGGTAGATATCTGAGAGCCCTAAAGCCAAGGCCATAGTGGGCCCGGGGGATGTCCACGGGCGTCATGTCGGGGAAAAGGTCCGCGGGTGCCGATGCAAAACAATACAACCCACTTCGGATTGTTCTCAGACAATGAAAACCATCACCCACTTACCACAGCACACTATTTAAATCCCACCAATTCCCTCGAAATGTCCCGTCCTCGAACAAAATAAACACAAAAAAAAACAAGTCTCTTTCCTCCAACCCTTATTTCTTTGGCAATGTACCCCAACGCATCCGCAACAACCTCCGGCGCAGAGGCAAACAAAGCCTCGAACTTCACGCACATTTCCAGGCCAATCCACGATCGCACCAACAGCAACGCATCCTCCTCTTCCTCCGATGCCTCAACTGACGCGCTCGATGTCGATACCTCAATATATCCCGACGGCAAAATGTCGCTGGCGGGGATATCGCTGCGCGCAATGCTCCTCGGAACCAGTCTCGGATTGTCAGCAAGCCTGTCGTTGTTCCTAAGCACCGTATATCAAACCCCACTCTGGCGCGTGCCCTTCTTCGTCGCCTCGCTGAGCCTGTTCCACTTCTTGGAGTTCTACGTGACGGCGCAGTACAACACGCGGTATGCGACTGTCTCAGCGTTCCTGTTGTCATCGAACGGATGGGCGTATAATATTGCGCACGGGTCTGCCATGTTGGAGTGCCTTGTGTCACATGTTTTCTGGCCCGGGCAGACTGCTGCGGGGCGGTTGGTTACTGTGACGGAACCGTTTTTCGGAAGCTCGGTCTCGTTGCTGCTTGTCGCAGGCTTTGTGCTTTTGTTGATCGGGCAGCTTATTCGCACCCTTGCTATGGCGCAGGCTGCTAGTAACTTCAATCACCATGTGCAGAGTCAGCATCAGGAGGGTCATGTTTTGGTTAATACTGGTCTTTATCGCTATCTGCGGCATCCGAGTTATTTTGGATTCTTCTGGTGGGGTCTCGGTACACAGCTGGTGCTAGGGAATATGGTTTGCTTTGTCGGATATTCCCTAGTGTTGTGGCGGTTCTTCTCGAGCCGGATTAAGCGTAAGTTGTCTGTCCGTTTTGGTATATTGGATATCTTGCTGACTGGTTTACGCGGCTGCAGGCGAAGAAGCTTACTTGATCTCCTTCTTTGGTGACGAGTATGTTCAGTACAGAAAAGCTACCTCGGTTGGTATCCCGGGAATTTAGTTGCAAAACGTTACAGTATCGAAGATATTGAATCGAGTAAATACAAAGAAACCATTGATATCAGCGTCAGCATGTGTGGTAATGTATGGAGCTAGACTTGATCGATTAGAAGTCTGGTATATGGTATAAGTGATCACACCCGTAGGCGTAGTAGCTTCAATGTTGTAAGCTATTTACATTGGCATCATTATAGCTTACTTTCAGGCGCGACTCCTCCAACCGCGCCACTCATGTAAGGTCCACTCTCATCCGACTCGTCCTCGGTGGTCTCGGCGCCGAAAAGGACAAGCTCACGCCCACCTTCAGTGCTCCACCATGTAACACAGCAGTGCGATCGATCAACATCCATCTCACCGCCAGCTAGGGCTTCCCAGAAACGATCAATACAAGCATGTCGCATATTGCGGTCGGAAATTGTGTTGATCAATTGTGCTGCTAAGGGGAGCCATTCCTTCAGATCTTCGACTCGGAGGAACGAAAGGGAATCGAGAAGAGCAAGGGTTAGGACAGCCTGTTCGGAGACAGGTGGACTCTGGCTCATGTCTGGATTTGGACCCTGCGGGGGGAGCGGTGTAGAGGAAGCATTCAAAGCACGGTCGTGAACAACTTCCAGCAGGATGGAGGGGAGAAGGGGCTGAGTATTTGCTAGAGGAGAAGGAGGTGCTGTAATTTGGATGACAGTCTTGAAAGCCAGACGGAATTGGCGCGCGGAAAGGTTATTGGGGAAAACCTGCGGATGATTAGAACCTACTTTCGTATAATACCGGGGTTGGAACTCACAGCAAACAGGTTTTCGATATAGAAAGGCAGGTGTTTGGCAGCTAATTCCGAATTATGGGGAATAGCGAAGACAACAAGCACCAGGCTGTGAGCAGCTTCGAAAATTTCCAACAGAAGACTGTTAGCACCGGCTGCGAGATATGGGAAAGCAGCGGACAATAATAGTTCCTCGTTTGTCTCTGAGGATATGACAAGAGGGAAATGCTCTGCGACATTCAAGAAAAATAGATCCAGACATCGTTCAACTGGGTGAGCAGGAATTTGTCCGATATCGCTTGGCTTAATGCTTCGCAGGAAGTTCTCGGCGAGGACGGGGTATTGTGAAAGGATGTCTATGGCTGCCAACAGCACGAACGTCTGCTGAGATGAGGCATTCTGGCCAAGCCGAGAAGAGATGAAATACATGTTGCGAAGTATGTGGAGACATTGCATCGATAGGTATGGGGCGCCTGAAAGAAACATAGTTAGTACAGAGCAAACATCATGACTTGTTCGTAACTTACTACTGCTGGCAGCAAGAGCCGGGTCGTTGATAGTTCTCCCCAGCACAGCCCGAAGGGTAATAATCACCGAATATAAGCAATTTCGCAACATCTTCCAGAGGGCAGGAAGTGTGATTTCCCGGGATTCTGTGTCTAGGAATTCTGTTTCTTCCGCAACGTCAATCTCAGACAATTTGTTCTGACGCCATTGAACCATGAGCGTCCGAACGAAGCCCGCCAGGTAATCAACAGTCTGCGCAACAATTCTCGGATCCCGAACATTATCAACAGAATGTGCGATGAGACGAGACAGAGGTCCCAGAGTAGACACAAGCGGGCGAACAGCTACTGCCGAGACGACACCAAACGTGGGGGAGTTGGATGACCAGCGGAACTGCTTCCCGGGAGCTTCAACAACATCTTGATCAATAGATCCCAAGAAATAGCCACCTTCAAGGCCCTCCGAAGACAAGTACGCTGATTGAATCATCGCCGGGAGCAAGCGATCATAATCCAGCTTGCTTCTCTCGAGATCGGACAGAAGCTCAAAGGTGTAGTTCAAGACCATAGTGATGCACTGTCCGTCAACCCCAGTCTCAGGGCCAACCTCCTCCAGCGCTAATTGTGCCGCTCTCGCAAGTGCCGACTCGAGTTTCACTCGAATATGCCGTGGTAAGCCCCGTCGGTTCTGTCCCTCAAATCCCATCAAGATTCCGCCCAGCAGAAGCGTATGCCTCCACCGCGGGGACTTATCATCGGCGCCCTCAGCGACCGCTTTAACCCACGCCTCATACTCAATCTTCCTATTCCGCCCGTACGGTATCCGAGGTTCGTCGGTCGTATCGTTCTGCAAGACAGCGATGGCGGCGGTGTTGAAGACGCTGAGGATCTTGCGACATGATTCGAGGTCAACGGGGTGGCTCCAGAGCGAAGGCGCAGTGAGGAGTTGTGATGAAAGAAGTGTCAAATTCAGAGGATTTCCTAACATTGACAGAAAACTCGTAGCCGTGGGAAGAAGACTGAATCAGCCGGTTGTTAGCCTGCCATTGACCTCCCCAATCCCATTAGAGTATTTGGTACTTACGAAGCGGCATCTTGGAAGCTGGAAGTCGCCTGCAGCGACCGCAGCAGCGTAGCCAGAGATCGTTCCGTGGCCATTTCAAGACTGGGGGTAATAGGGATGCTCCCAGACAAGTGACTCTACATCGCCCAGGGAGTTGAGATGATCAACCGCGGAGAAGCCGAGGTCCGGCTCCAGAGCCAAATACGGGGACGCCCACGCAATATTGACCAATGACGCAGAGCCAAACAGTGCAAACAAGCATCGTCATCTCCAAGGGTCTCCAGACTTGCCTTTTTTTGTACGCGTGCAATACATTTATGGTCAAAGTGACTCTCCTTTATTCACGTGTCATGCTTCGATAATTGATTTCTGCAGCTGAACCGGCGCAGCTACCTCTCTATGGCCAACAATCGCGTCCCGATTAACTACGAAGTGCCTTCGTTTCCGTCGTTGTACGATCCCGTACCGGCGAATCACCAACAAGCATACTACCTATACTACACGAAGGACATCTGGCGCTTCACACTGTTCTGGACGCTGATATTTTACGGCGCGACACATCTCACTGTTGCCGGGTGTGCCGTGCTGACTCATTTCCGTAACTGGAATGTGATATGGATTGTGCCGTTGGTGTACAGTTTTATTGCAGCCCTGGAGTCGCTTTTAGCTGGCAGCATAATTGGAGTTGTGTAAGTTGGTTGCTTGACACTTGATTTACCCAGGATGATTAAGTAGCTGACGCTTCTACGGTGGATAGCCTCGGCGCGGTGTATGAAGCAGGCAATTTCAGGATGTCAACTTGGCTACCGATGATTTGGGGCGGTGTCAATGTTATGGTTCTTATTGTCACCAGCTTCCCAATGCAAGGTGGCCTTTGAATGGCGTCCCGGCTGCTACTACCTTTGATCATACTACGACATGTCTACGTGGACGGCAACTCCGATTGGGAATATGTCCAACCAACCTACGCAAAGTCTCATCGACAACATCCAGGAGACTTGGAAACACCTGAAAATTTCCTATGATACAAATGGGATTTGATATCTCAAATAACGCCGTCGCCACGCATCAAAGTAGCTATGCTATGTCCTTTGCGCCAATGCCAAGCCGATTCAACGTGCATTTCAAACCAGGTGTCCATTTTTCATCACTGTCTCCGGTTTCCATCGGGCATACTACCGCCTTGCAAACCAGGCAGGCCACCAAATCCACCAGGGAAGCCAGGGTTGCTGGCCAAAGCTTGGAGGTTGAGATTTTGTGGCATGGGGAAACCCTGGAGTTGCTTCTGCAATTGTGCGAGATCCATATTCATGGGCGGTGTTCCGGTCATACCCTGCCGCATGGGGAACCCATGCATTCCAGGTGTGGGAGTACTCGACTGCGATGGAGGATGACCTGACATGAGTGCAGCCAAACGGTCTGGATTCATCCCACCCATAGCGCCACCATCTACTCCTGGCTGCCGAGGCTGAGCACTGCCAATACCAGGTAGCAACCCTGGAACGTCGGGCTGAGGGCCGGCCGGCGGCGCACTTTGAATACCCGGCAGAGCAGGGCCGCCTGGTCGTCGTTGATCGACCAGGCTGTCGGCTTCGTCCTGCATTTCTTGCTCCTCGTCCTCGCGCATTTGTTTCCGGCCAAACCCGCGGTTCCATGTTCCTTGGGCTTCTGCAGCCTCTTCGCCAATGTGGAATCGGTCTTTCATATAGCTAGTCTCGCCAGGCCGAGTCCGCGACCAGAATCGAGTGAAGTTATCCTTAGATCCAGAAGCCAAGATATGGCCCAATGGGTGCCAGTCTAGTGACCAAATTGTAGCACCGTGTGCGTATTGTACCCGATGCGCCGGATAGATCACCTGCGGGGGAGTATTGGCTGGATCCGGGCTGTCATACGGTGCCACTGTGGGAATCTGGCCGGCCGGCAGGTGAGGCTCGTCAAGTAGATAATGATAGAGAGAACCATCCTCAGCACCAGTCGAGATAAGGTTACTGTGAATGGGGTGCCATGTCAAAGAAGAAACCGGCTTGTCATGGCCTCGCAGAATGCAAATATCGCGCATCATCCGCAAATCAAATACCCTGGCAGTCTGGTCTCGCGACGAAGTAGCAAGGAGGTTGCTGTTCACACGTGAGAATCGCGTCGATGTGACGGTGTTTTTGTGGCTGTGGAGGGTCGTCAAACAGCGACCAGTGCGCGGATCCCAGAACTTGACCTGGTGATCCTTCGATCCAGAAACAATCAGACCCTTGGTCGGGTGCCAGTCGCAAGACTTGACATCCCAGTTGTGTCCGGTCAGTGTTGCGTCGGCCGTTCGGGTTGCAAAGTCGAAAATTTTGAGAGTTGTGTCATCGGACGCTGAAAGGAATTTGGTATCACTGGGTGCCCAAGCTAGATCGCGGACTGCATCGTGGTGCGCATCATCGATCGTCTCGACGTTGTTGAAGTTGGGTCGCCAGTATTTGATATCACCTCTTTGTCCACCAGAGACCAGCCAGTCTTGGCTATGGGCCCATGCTAAGGACGTGACACCGGCTTGTATTTGATCGTAGTGTGCCTGCATCGAGAGGACATCTCAGATTAGCAAGAGCACAACCCACAGAACCTGTATATACGCACATCCATGACGGTCTCGAAATTAAACGCCGTTCCATTCCAAAGCATAAACTCTCCTGTAT